GCAGCCCCCCCCCCCCCCAGTTTGTTGGGCTATCAAAGCCAGTCGGGCAATATTCCCTTCACAGTCGGGCAATATTGGCTTATTATAAAAATAAATGGACAAATTCTGTCAATTTTGTGGGGAATTTTGTCAATTTTTTGGGAAATATGCTATCTCCGGGAAACATTTTTTTGACAACACGGGCACACTTTTTTCCTTCCCATTCGCCCATGTGTATACCAACATAAATCCTGGGATGAAATCATGGTCACATATATTACAGTATATAATCTTCTGTTGACAATAATATTTGTTGTGCATTGACTCAGGCAATGACTCGGGTTGTGCAGCAAAAAAGTGTCATGTTTGTGGACCATTCTATTTGACAGTTTTGCATTTACTACATTTGGTGGGGATAATTAACACCCCTGACTTTAGTGGAAGATGATCAAAACAAACATGAACTAAAACATGATTTTGCGCTTAACAACATATGCCTTACAAAACTGATGGTACAATGGCAGTATACGGGTGGCATTATATGTAACTTGGAAACTTTCCATGATGAATTGTGTCACTGTGATTGTGTATACACAACAGAGTGATTATACCTAAAAGTAGGGTCCCATAGTCCTTTTAATGTTCTATTTTTAAGTCATCAAACTTAAAGTGACTATAGAATTCAAGCAAGACAATTAATAATAAGCATCTAATTCTCCAAGTTCAAAATGTAATGTCCGCAACGTAATGTCCGCAACACATTATTCAAGACATGTTAATACTTTTTATTGTCTTTTTTCAGTCTAAAATAATGTTAATACCATTTTAAAAAAGCAGAACAAATATAATGTCAAAAGAGCTAGACCTTTGGCTGAAAAATAAATTGAATTGTTTTTTTTTGTTGCGGACATTACATTTCTCTTACCCAAACTCTGATGCACCATAAATCACAGCAACACTGGATATTATCTGATATAACATTGTCATCATGATATTTGAACCTAAAGGCCTGATTCCACGGGCGCTTTTTCTCGGCGAAATATTTCGCCTGTTTCTTTTGAATTGTGGGCAATCAAGTAGAAATAATTTATTCGAGTGGTCGCAATTCAAAAGAAACATGCGAAATATTTCGCATTTCACGGAGAAAAAGCGCCCGTGGAATCAGGCCTTTAGACTGTGTTTGTTAAGAAATACAACTTATTTCAAAGTTAAAGTGACTGAGATATAATTATTTTAAATGAACACACTTTATCCACAGAACAATAGCAACAAACAAGTGCAGGTTCAATGGCTTGCCGCAGAGTGGGCATGCGGCAAAATTCAAAAATCGTTTTGATTTATGATAATCCAATGTGTTAACTATGGAAACATGTGGTTAGCACCACATAATGTTGCATTTTGCAATTTTGCCATTTTCAATGTCTCATGTGAAATTGACCTTTTAAGCTTTTAAAAAAGCTCTCCCTGTTAACACTCTGACCAGTAGGTCAAGGCAGGGCCGGAGATACGGGAGGTGTGACACCCCCAGCAATTTTATTCAGTCGGCAGGACTGCTATTTGGTTTAAATATTTCCGCGCAAAGGGCAAGATATTCGGGTTTTTTGGGTAAATTTCCGAATTTTGGTATGAAAAATAGAGGTAAAGTCACTGGAAAGCATTTGCAACATACCTAAAAAAGTTCCCGTCAACCTCTCGGCGGCCCTGTTCGTCAGTCGTTTGAAATGACCTTACACCCCCCCTGAAGAATCCCTGAGGACGGCCCTGGGTCAAGGGGGCCCTTCACGGGGAGCACTGAGACTTCGTCCTACCCATAATTAAGATTCTGGGAAATGAGTACCCCATATGCCCCTAGTGTCTAATAGAATGTGAATTTCAAGTTGTAAAATAAAAGGAAAGTGCTATTTTTGCAGGGTATATCCTTGACCCAAAAAATAGATTATGTGATCAGCTATCTATTTATCGGGCCAAATTTGGAAACCCGGAAATACACACCCCGAGAACAAAGCTCATTTGTAACTTACTGTTTGCAATGAGTAAAATTAATATTGTATTATGTAATGTAATCTTCAAAAATTATGAAGGGCCTTAGAACTCCTCTCCCAACTAAAGCAACACATTAAAGGGAATGGCTTGGTCCATTACACCCTACTGTTAATGACAGGGATGGCTTTACTGGGGGTGCACCCCTAGCCCTGGCCAGAGGGGGTGTGTGTTATTTTTCATAATAAAGCAAAAAATTATTAGAGGCACAATAAAATACAGTAATTTGAGTAATAACATGATGATAAGCGAACTGTGAACAACAATTACAATTCAAATACATGTAGTCAAGCAAGACTTTGCAGTAGTGAAACACGTTGATGGGTGGGCGGCACACATGACCGACACAACTGGGCACCATGCAGAGCTGGTAGAGCAACCCCCCCTACCAGATCATGCTGTATCCATCCCTGGTTAATGAAAAACATGAGATTGCTCATAAAGTTTGTCTCCACTATGTGTTCTTTTATGTCTTGCTGAAGTACTTGAATATCTGAATTCTTTACAGATATGATATTCATATAAGGTTTTACTCTATTATGTGTTCTTTTATGTGACAATAACTAAATTGTTTGATGTTGAATAATGTTTGTTACACATCTTAGCAAGCCACATATACAGGATGTGCTTGTCTGTATCATGATTTGTTGCAGTGTATGTTGTTTAAACAAATTTGCCATCTACAGCATTGATTTATTTTTCACAATTCTGCAAACTATTAATGGCAGCTGGCAATGTCACATGTAACACAAGGCCGTCAGAAGTGGGGGGCTTGAGCACCCCCCCCCCCTAAAATTTCCATTTGTATAAGCAAAACACACAAAATAACTAGAAAAGTGCAAAAGCAATTAAAATTTATTCAGATATATTCTTGAGTCCCCCCAATATTGATTTACTTCCGATGGCCTTGTAACATCCTGCCCAGATTTTTTTTAATTCTATAACGCCCTGTATACAAGGTTAGTACCCTATTGAATAACTTGCACACCTGACACCACTATAAAGAAAAATGGGCCGGCCATTGCTAATGTGCCGGTTGAAAGGTATGCATGAGCTAATAAGTGTGTTAGCTTATTTAGGTCATGAAACAAGACAATTACAAAAGTAGTAAAAGAAGACACATTAGTTGTGAATATGTTTTTTTTGCTATCTTCACGATAAATATGTTCACCCAGCATGAAATGAAAAAGTAGTGCACAACCTGTGCAGAGTCCATTTTGCATGTTGGCACACAATTTGGCATTAAAATAAATTGTATATTGTTGATTGCTAGGCGAACAGGTGAGGACTCTGAACCCGGCATTGCTTGACGAGTAAGATACTTAGCGTACTAACCCCAATTACACATACCACATGAAATATCTAAGGTTACAAGGCGGCAATATATTTGTAATACTAATTATATACAATATCTCAAATGCTCAGATGTATGGTAAATTCAATTTGTAGTGACCCCCCCCCCTTTCGATTTTTACACTCCCCTGTTGGCCAAGGGTGTGTAACCTCCGTCAACCCCCCTCCCCTCCCCCTCTAAACCCAACTGTATGTTGGGATGGATTTACTGGGGGGGGGGTGCACCTCCCTAGCCCTGGCCAGGGGGGGATTTTCATGATAAAGCAAAAAAATATTTTAGAGACAAAATGAGATAAAGTAATTTGAGTGATATCGATAACATGATAAGAAGCGAACTGTGAACAACAATTACAATTCAAATACAGTAGTCAAGCAAGACTTGACCTGTAAGTTGATGGGCGGGTGGCATGCATGAACAACATAACTCGGCATTAGAGCTGGCAAATTAAACCCCCCTCCCTCCCCCCTCCTACCAGATCATGCTGGATCCATCCCTGGCACCATGACTGTTAGTGTTGGTGCTAATTAAACAGTGCAATCTTGAACGGTCTGTGCCAGGCTAGATAGAGATGATAACAAGATAACTAGATATAACTTAGTACCTGAAAAATTCAAACAGAACTTCACTCGAAAAGTCAATAATTTGTACATTCCGCATGGATTTTCAAGCTCTGTGGATTATGGAATATAAACTAGGCTGTTATTACAATTTTCAAAATTGAAGTTGAAAGTGTCAAAAATTTCTTATCTTGGCCAATCTATTTTTTACTTTTATAGTATAATTCACTGAAACATATAGATATTAATTTAAACTATGTTTGAGAAAAATTCTGTTATAAAATCTTTTTTCAGATTACTCAGATAAAGAGTAAGATACCTGGCATTTCAGAATATAAGTTCTACCAACCAAAAAGAATAAAAAGATAAAAAAACAACAATAGAAATTATAGAATATAAACTCCATTTAAACTCCACTCCTAACTTGGCGCCATATTGAATTTCGCGGTCGCGCTAGTAAAGGCCTGGGAACTAGGTGCTCTATCGTATCTGAAATAGCCTTCACCAATATGTATGAACCAAGGGGGCGGCCAGGGATGCCGAAGGATAACCATAGCCGACCGCGCTCTGCGAAGGGCCTGGGAACGACACGCTCGGAAATCCAACATGGCGGCCATCTGAAGTCGGGAATGTAGAAGGAGACGATAAATTCAAACCCAAACGAGACATGAACGGCGAAGTCGATGGTAAACTAACGTTCCACGACGACATAGTATTTGGCAATGATCTTGTAGACGAAACTGCTGCGCCATAAGATGGATAAACTGGAGCGAAAGTATTGTTATTTTCAGCGATCGAGTAAACGATATTATCTGACGAATTCTGCAACGATTGTGATATTTCTGGCACAGGCGAAGAGGAAACAAACGCCATTGAGTCAACGTTTGAAATAGATGATCCAGATTCACGAGGAATTAAACGAGGCATCAGTGATGCTCGAAGTGTTTGGAACGACTAAATGTCACGACTGAGCATGAGCTACTGGCGTAAACAACTTATATAAGGCCACATAAAAAAAAATAGTTGGTTAGCGTCCCCGCCCGCCCACAAAAAAGGCCCCGCTCAGGATTTTTTTTTATTTTTTATTTAAAAAAAACCCCGACAACAGGCTCTAATATATGTAGTATTTCTGTTGACTGTAGTCAATTGTGTTAATAATTTGCGAAATTGCGTGCGAAAATGACGGTATGAATTATATTTTGAAATATATAAAAAAATATCTGTACTGCACAAGAAAATCCATTTTCGGACCTAACAGTGAGTAAAACCAAGGCGTTAAAAATTAGTAAAAATTAAAAAAAAAGCACCCGTCCGCCCACTTTTTGACAAAAGCTAAGGACGCTAACCAACTATTTTTTTGTATATGGCCTAAGGTAGGTTATGCAAATGCCCTCATTAGCATTTGCCAAGCTGTCCCTGGGGGCCCCCTATTCTGATAACAAATACAACAACTCAGCTCGTTATTAATATCATTTATTTCATAAATCCAATTAATTGCGACTTACATAAGAACAATTAGGGTTTAGACTGGTCTACAATTAGACCATTTATACAAGTGTGTTTGCGTCTTATGTAAGTCGCGCATTTTCTCCCATATAACTAGAAATTAATGGCCCTAATAAGTTCTCCGTTTGGTAATATAAGTATCTTCAAAAGCAAATACCAACAGACAATTCGAAGTTTTACGGCAATTTGTCCATGAAAATTGCGAAATAGCTACTAATAGTTAGCTGCATGTCGAAAATTTGGATAGAATTTAACTTCAAATGCAATTGACCTTTGGCTTTGCGGTTAACCGTTATAGCGGTCTGCCGTAAAAGCCAATCTTATAAGAGTTAAGGGAAACATTGTTTGCGAAACATATGTGTTGCAGTCAAACATGACATTTCTTGCATACTGTATTATTATACTGCATGGAGTCTATTACTGAACTAAAGGAAAGCCATAGCATAAAGAGACACGGATACTCATTGAGGAAATTAACCACTCTCACGAATATACAGCAAGGACATTCAAAGTAATTAGTTTGGCGAAAAAGCGAACCAAATTAGTTAAAGCGGCCACTACATATGCCTGTACTATAATACTGTGATAAACATAGTATAGAGCATATAGTCTATAGAACTAGAAACCCACTGAGAGAGAACGAATGGCGTTGACAGAATAAACATTTGACACCCTTTTCTCTGTATATTAATTCTTGTTAATACAGAAGCAAGTCTTAAATATTTTGTAATTATCTGATCAAATTTCCCTCCCTATGTGTGCATTTTTAACTAATAACTTTTTAATAACAGATCTTAAAACAGAGCACCCATTGCGAACTAGTGAACTAATTACTGATTGATAACAGTTTTTGCCATTAAATTTAATGAGATAATGTAATTTGATTTCCGGACTTTTGCGTCTTCAAGACGCAAAAGTTGCATATTTTTGGTCGTGCGGGTCCTCATGTAAGGGCCACAAAGCGCTAGGAAACTGCCTGCAGGGTTAACAAGCATACACGCATATATTTTTGAGGTAAAATGAAAATATATATATATATATATATATATATATATATATATATATATATATATATATATATATATATATATATATATATATATATATATATTTAACAATTATACCATGAGCTCGAGTCGTATATGAGCGAATGGTATAATTGTTTTATAATATAGTCTAATATAGCCATTAACTGAAGCAGTAATTAATTATTCACTGTTACAATGTGTTGACAATTTGTTCGGCCAAAAACCGCTTGAAAATTTGAAATACTTTTGTTTTACAACTCGAAAACGAAGTGAAAGAAATGGTTTTAGAACCTCTATATTTCACAGGAAAGCTCAGATATATTATACAGATGTTTGGTACTATAGTAAGTGCTTGTTGACTGCAAATTCATTTGTCGTTCATTGCAAACTTTTCTGAACAATTTATATTCTCAATGAACATGTTTTTTCGCTGTTGTTTCGGTATTAATTCTTTAAAAAACTTGTATTTAAACTAATTTCTACGTAATAAATATATTTTGCTAACCTGTCAAATTTTTTTTGAGAGTTTTTCCTTGTAGTATTATGTTTTTCAAAGCGAATATTTTCCTTTTTCTGCTTCGCAAAACTCATGTAGTTTTTGGACCGCCATCTTGTTTTTCGCTACTCGCCGTATATGAGCTGATATACGGCGAGTAATTCAACCAATCAGATTGCAGAACAGCTCATATACGGTGGATGACTATATTATAAATATATATATACTATAATATATATATATATATATATATATACTATAATATATATATATATATATATATATATATATAT